CATATAAACAAAAAAATCAACAAAGAAATCCAAGAACTAAATGACACCATAGATCAAATGCACCTAATAGATATCTACAAAATATTTCATCCAACAACAGCATTCTTCTCAGCATCCCATGGAACTTTCTCCAAAATTGATATCTTAGAGCACAAAGCAAGACTTGGCAAGTATAAGGACATAGAAATAACCCCCTGCATTCTGTCTGATCACAATGCAATAAAACTAAAATTCAACAACAAAAAAACAGCAGGAAATATACAAATAACACATTGCTCAATATCAATGGGTCATAGAAGAACTAAGAGAGGAAATCAAAAGGTTCCTGGAAGTTAATGAAAATGAAAACACCACTAAGCATACATTATGAGACATAGTAAAGGCAGCCCTAAGAGTAAAGTTTAAAGCCATGAGTGCTATAAACTTAAAAGGACAGAAAAAATCTCAAATAAATGACCTGATGTTACATCTCAAACTCCTAGAAAAACAAGAATAAGCTAAACCAAAATCAAGCAGAAGGACAGAAATAATAAAAATAAGACCAAAATTAATGAAATCGAGAACAAAAAAAACAAACAAAGAACCAATGAAACAAAAAGCTGCTTCTTTGAAGAAATAAATAAGATCGACAATCTCCTGGCAAATCTGACTAAATTGAGGAGGGAAAAAAAAAAAAAACCCACGTAAACAGACCTATAGCATATAATGAAATTGAAGCAGCAATAAAGATTCTGCCAAAATAAAAAACTTGAGGACGTGACAGATTTTCTACTGAATTCTACCAGACTTTTAAAGAACTAATACCAACATTCCTTAAACTTTTCCATGAAATAGAAAGGGAAAAAACACTCTCTAACTCATTTTATGAAGCCAGTATTACACTCACCCCAAAACCTGACAAAGACACATCCAAAAAGAAGAACTACAGCCAATCTCCTTAATAACATTAATACAAAAATCCTCAATAAAATAATGGCAAACTGAATCCAACAACATATCAGAATGATCACTCACCATGACCAAGTCAGTTTCATACCAGGGATGCAGGGATGTATCAATATACACAAATCAAAAATGTAATACAGCACATTAATAGAAGCAAAGACAAAAACCACATGGTTATCTCAATAGATGCACAAAAAGCCTTTGATAAGATTCAACACCATTTCATGATAAAAACTCTAAGAAAACTAGGAATAGAAGGAATGTACCTCAAAATTATAGAGGCTATATATGATAAACCTATATGACAAATGGGGAAAAACTGAAACCATTTTGCTTCAAGTCAGGAACAAGACAAGGATGCCCACTCTCCTCACTTCTATTCATCATAGTCCTGGAATCCATAGCCAGAGCAATTAGGCAAGAAGAAGAAATAAAAGGAATACAAATAGGTAAAGAAATAGTCAAAGTATCTCTATCTGCACACAACATGACCCTATACCTCAAAGACCCAAAACACACCACCCAAAAACTCCTAGACACCATAAACAGTTTCAGCAATGTAGCAGGATACAAAATTAACTTACAAAGTAGCCTTTCTGTACGTCACTGATGAACAAATTAAGAAAGAATATAGGAAAACAATTCTATTTACAAGCCTCAAAAAAAAAAAAATCAAATGCCTAGGAATAAACTTAACAAAGGATGGAAATGACCTTTACAGGAGAACTAGAAAACACTGAAGAACAACACTGAAGAAGACAGAAGGAGGAAAGATCTCCCATGCTCATGGATTGGCAGAATCAACACAGTAAAAATGGCTATACTACCAAAAACAATCTACCTGTTCAACACAATTCCAACCAAAATCCCAATGACATTCATCACAGAGATTGAAACATCTACCCTAAAGTTCATTTGGAAACACAAAAGACCTTGAATAGCCAAGGAAATACTAAGCAAAAAGAGCAATGCTGGAGGTATCACAATACCCGACTTCAAACTATATTACAAAGCAGTAGCTATAAAAAACAGCATGGTACTGCAACAAAAACAGACATGAAGAAAATGCTATCATTCGCTGGTAAATGGATGGAATTGGAGAACATCATTCTGAGTGAGGTTAGCCTGGCCCAAAAGACCAAAAATCG